AAAAAAAAAAAAACAACAGAGAAGGGCAAAGACTCAGGTCAGTGGGATACCACTGCAAGGGTCTGCACTTCTGCTACAGTTCTGATCGAGAGGCCTGGGTGTGTGTAAATGTTGGTGTAAGGGGGGACAGAGAACGTACCTACGGGCACGATGTGCTTGGAGTGAGGAGCTGTCTGCCCCTTAGCTCACTTCACCAAATCTGTCAGCTCTTGTCTCTCTTGTTGAAAGCTTGTAGAGCTTTAAGGGAAATAAATGCTGGGTCAAAGAGACTGTGGTTCTGTGTTCTCTAATAATGCCAAGAGTTCACACTTTGTTTTAGACATCCAAACAAAATACTGTTCCTTCTAGTATTTCCAGGACCATTTAAAATAAAAACTAATTAACAGAAATGCATTTGTGTTTCTGTCTGAAGGTGTTAGGGAACGGTTTCTTATTCTGAAAGGTGCTGGGAATAGTGAGGGAGGGAGCTCTTTCAGACTTGCTTTTTAGTTTAGGCAGGTTGTCTTCACCAGGCTCACCATGCAATGTGGTCATCTTTGAGACAACAGGTTTGGAACGTGAAGGGTTGCAAAGAGTGGGCCAGGTGACAAAATGTGCTTGGGAGGATTGGTATCTTCAACGCATCCTCAGATCCATACGTCTCGAAGATATTCTCAGATGTCTTACAGACATTTCCTAAAGTATTCTGATTTCTCTTGATAAACACTTTTCACTGGGTTTCCTATTTGGGGCAAAGCATGTGTCCGTGGTTGTGGGTGCGAGCTGCAAGAACAGAGGAACGTAGCGAGCTGCTCTGTTCCAGCTGTGCAACCGCTCGCGCTTGCGGTGGAAATAATTGTGCAATGTGAAGAGCCAGAGCTAAAGATCTTGTCACTGTCAAGACAATTTTTTACCACTGACAGCAAGCAATAATAAATGACCAAATGTACTTTCTCTAAATATTCCACTGAATTATTTTTAAAAAAAATAATTTTTTTTTTTTTGGTCTGCTTGTTAATTTTAAAGACAGTCTTTTTTTAAGATGGTTTTCAGCCTTGACTCGAACTCTTTCTAGCCTGAGTTAGCTTGAGTGACATTCCATGTCAGACACCTCCGTGCTTTTGTGCCTAAGTGAAAGAGAAGGGTGACTCCGAGCTTCTTGCATATTTGGAGCATGAAATAATCCATTTTCTTAGAAGTGAAGCTTATTATTTCTCAGTTTAACCATATTCTGTTACCTGTTTCGGACCAGTAAGGCAGGATGTTAGAGAAGCCCAATGGAAGAGAAGTTCATTTTCAGGGTGGATCGTTTATTTTTTTGATACAGTTCCTTTATTTTAAGGTCAAGGGCAGGTAAGAATTACAAAGTTAAAGTGTTGATTTGGAAGTCAAGCGAACAGCCAAGGAAAAGCCATGTACTTGCACCTGCCCCATTTGTGACTCTGCTGCCCAACTCCCACAAATCTGTGTCACATAAAGCTGTTGAACCCTTTGTGTCTTTAATTTTTGCAGCCTCCCTACAGTTTCATGTAAAACCTGTGACATTTATGAAAGAACAAAACTACTAGGTGAGGCTGATTGAAGTTACAGGGCTGGAGTTAAATCCTATTTTTATCTGGGGAAGCATCATCTTACTGATCGATCCACGTGAATCCGCTCTATGGCCTCTGTCCTTTATTTTATTTGTTTCTGTCTGTCTTTCTATCAACATGTATTCTGAGCTAATATCTTCCCCTGGGACCTTTTTCCCCTACATTAAAGGAAATGGGAATATCTGTTTTTATCAGGCACTGTGAATACTGTGGAAGAAAAAGATTTTGCAAATGGAAGCAGAATCCAAGGACTGTACCCAAACTTGCCCATCTGTTTGCCCAAGCTGGGCTTTTCCTTAACAATCCTGCTGTTTGTGAGCAGTGTGAAGGGTGATGTCAGACATAGTTCTTCAGCATAACAAATTTTTGGCGTGTTTTTAAAGTTAAGACAGAAATATAATAAATTGATCTTAATCTCCAATAGAGAAAATATCATTTATTGCTGGTTTTAATGTCAGTTGAGTTGGATTTCCTATCTGGATATGCTGGAGGTTCATGGGATATTGTGATTACAGTGTGATTAGTGAAGTGCTGTCTTTAGTGTGGTGCAGGTCATCGTCGTGTCCCGTTTGACAGAGGTGTTCAGAGATGTGAAGTGGACATATCAAACGTTCCAGGCTGAGCCTGAGGTTGGCTTGATGCTCCCTTTGGCTCAGCAGATTAAACACAAGGTCCTGTGCCATTGAGACTACAGAAACAACTTTCTTTCCAAATTCCTTTTGGGGGAAAGAAAAAAAAAAAATTGGTAAAGATGGCAATTCGCCCCTTGTACTCTCATCCATTTATATCTTAATTTCAGAAGCTGTCCAGTAATTTAAATAGAAACTGCAAAATAATAGCTTTGTTTAGAGCGCTGTCTATAAACAGATATTGAAAAGAGCTTGTTGCTCATTCCTTCGTTTAAAATTCACTCAGGTGGTTCAGTTTAAGACTGGAATCTTTCCCCTGTTCTTGCTTTTATTCTCATTTGTTCAGTGACTGGTTACATGGCCAGTTATGCTGCTGTGACAGGCCAGGCAGTATTTAAAGAATCTAAGGCAGCTCTTTACATTAATGTGTGCTAGGTGGAGAAACATTAAGAAATCATTTCCAGCATTTGATGGTTCTGCTTTTGGTTTTCAAAGTCCAGACTGATTTTTTTGTTCTCTCAGTGTTCGTAGAGTGTCTTCAATACTTGGTTTGTTTCTGTGCATCAGGCAGTACAAAGCTCTCGGAGTGAGTTTGTGCTGGATTTTCCCCAGCACATTCTGCGTTGCTGTGTCGCTGTGTTTCCTCCTTCGACGTTTCCTAAAAGCAAGATCAGGTCTCCAGGTCTGATGTTTTGTAGCTGTAGGAAAAAATACAAAGGAGGCAGTTGGTAGAGAATAAACGTTCAGATCGGAGCCAATCGCCTGGTTCGCAAACCCCCAAAAATTTGGTGTAAGGCTGGTGGAAATGAACATCTTCCATGGCCACTCACCTTCCTTATTGACTACTGAAGCCTGTAGTCCTTGGGGTCCACACAAAGAGGATGTGACAAAGAAGGAAAAAGTAGACTAAATGTGATTTTGTAATATTTGATGTCTTATCTCTCCAGTTTATCCATCTGTTTTGAAAATGGTACAGCTGGAAACCAAGCACAGTGTAGGTAGCTGTCACTGCTTTAGTCTTGAATTTGGATTAGAGCACATCTAAACTTAACTGAGCTGGTTTTAATCTGCCTGGTTGGGGGGAATGGAGCACCAGCAATCAATCTATGACCTTGTCAACGGAAATTCATAAATACCTGGGTTGGTCAGCTCCTGCTGATGTTGGCACGTTGTCCATTTTACCTCTGTGAAAACTAGCTCAGCTTCATCGTTACATCCCATAAACATGCTTCCCGTTTCTTTGTGAATGAAAGCTTAGTTACAAATAGTTTATCCAGCAGGAAGACACAGTAGTAAGAGCACATAACCATTTGCATGAAACGGATAGGGAAGTGTAATTTGGCAGCAAGAAGTATTTTATGCAAGTGTTGCTGGGTTGGGTTTTTTGGTAGGCAGGATGGTAAAGGTACATTATCACTAGGAATCTAATAGGTTTGGTATAAGGTAAGATACAACAGAGTTATTGATCTTCCCCGGGGTGTGTGCTGTTAAAGAGAGTTCTTTCGAAGTGCACTGGAAGGTGTGCAGCTGAGAACATACCATAAACCAGGGAAACTGGTCCTGTTACAAGTTTTAGGCTTCTTTTTTGTAAAACAGTTTGTATGTGAGAATAATGGGCTCGTGCAGTCGCTCACATTCATTCTGAAGTTTGTCGTTCAGAAATAAATGAGAAAAAATACATTTAAGACTTGCAGGTAATCAATAGGACAGGCTGCGATGTGATTCCAACAGTATGTATGGGATAGCTCCAAAAGAAATACCGTAGGGTGAGAGAATTTTGCTTACTCCTGTGAAAACAAAATGTAGCATCCTTTTGCAGTTTGGTGCTGACTGTCTCTCAGAACACCCAAGATCCTTATAAAATCCTGACAACACCCCTGAAGGTCATTTATGGAGGTCACTTCTTTTTGCCTCCCACACTCCCTAGAGAAATTCTGGTCTACCCACTCCTTCATGGCCACCCACCCGCAGATCAGCTGAGAAATCATACTCCGTTCAGAAAAACCTTTGTTAAGAATGTTATTTTTGTTCTTTGTTCTCTTTCCTTCATTTAAAAGATGTCTTTTGTTCGCTGTAGTTCAAATGCCATAGTTTAAAAATTCATCATTCACGGCGTATAGAAGTTAACACTGAATTTGTGTGTTTTAGCTGAACTTAAAAAATGAGATTGAGGACTCGTCATTTTTTACGTAAATGTCTTTTATTCTGATTTGGGTTTTCAGAAGTAAATTAAAATTAGTTGAATCAAAAGAATGTTTTTAAGGAAGCCCTTTTAGAGGGATCAACTGTTCTTTGGTTTTTGAAGCGGGTGGGGGACTTCTAGTCTTCACCAGTCAAAGTGCAGATGTGTTTATGGTGAGCAGTAATTCTTAAATCTACACCTTCATATACGAGAGGAACATAAATGTTGCTGTAATAAATTGTCTAAAGCGGAACGCCGTCGGCTGCGAGGAGTATCTCGGATCTTTGTGTAACAGTAAGAGCGTTACTCCGTGACGTTGTCACACTCCTGGTGTAACCTGCACAGTTTATCCTGCTTGGTCTTTGCAATAACCATTAACAGAATTAGGAATCTCATAAAGCAAAACGTGGCGAGCATCTAGTGTGGGAATCTTTCCATGTGTGTACCATGTCCTCTGGGAAACCCAGATGATTTAAAGCAACTGTTACTGATAGACAAGTTTTTGTGTGTTTCTTTTTAATGGCCTTGGGTTTTGCATCTGGTTTGAGTTAGATGGTTCATCGTGCCTTTCTCGTTGTGGTTGCTTACAAGCTGCTTGCTCCCTTGCTTTCCCTGCAGGTGTTGCAGGGCGCTCAGCTGATCGCTGTTGCTTCTGCGGAGCCGGCGTCAGGGGGTGTTGATGGATCCCCGCTCCAAGGGAGTGACATCCAGGTCCAATATGTACAGCTGACACCAGTGACAGACCACTCTGCGACCAATCAAGTATGTATATCCATCTTTTTGCCATTTGAGTGCACTTAACTTATTGAAACGTCTGTCAGATGAACTATATATCTATCCACAAATGCTGCAGTCCCAAGGAGTTTATGATCTTGTTTCCAAACCATTAAAAAAAAAAAAAATCTATAATAAGAAACATCATTTTGTTTAAGGTATAAAGTCTTTGACTATCCCTGCTTCTATGTTCTTGCTCAGTGCCTCTAGAGAGTAGTTATTTTGGTCATCATTGTTTTTCTGCATCCTTGAAGGCTGAGCGCCGTGTTAAAGGACAGGGCAAAAAAAAATTTGCTTGGAATCTATCCAGAAAGTATTTTTCAGGCTGAGGTTTCTCTTAAAAATGTTATTCCCTTTCTGACAGCCGTTTTCCAGTTATTTTGATCAGCAGCCTGGATTTCCCGCAGGAGTCGCAGCGTTAGCAATTGTAAGTGAACACTTGATCCTCTCAGTTACGGTGGAGGAATTATCTTTTTTTTTTTTTTTCCCTTTTTACATCAGTTTGAACAGTCATATGTCTGAGTCTAGAAAAAGTTTCTCATCAGCTCGAAGCTGTGACTGGTGACCACACAAGAATGCTGACTTAAAACAGTTGTCAGAAGTTTTTCTGAAGATGGTTACACATTCTTCTGTGAACCTCTCCTAGTGGGCTGCTTTTCTAGAGAATGCCAAGTGGTTGTGAAAGATAAGCTGGTGCTCATTAGCCAGAATAGAATGGTATCCTCAGCAGCCAGTGTTAGAGTGGATTTTTATCGGATACATACCCAGTTTTGTAGAGAATTCTGATCTGGCTACAAACATTTGGATATTGAGTCACTTGAAGAAAATAAAAAAAATGCATAAGAAATCAAGGGAATCTTGTCCAAACTTTGCATGCACAAAACTCAAGTGCTTAATGCTTCTTCCATGGGGAAGGCAATCTGCAGACCGGTTTGCTACAGGAAGTTGCAGCACATTAGTTATCTCGGCAGCAAAGAGATCTCGGACAAAATATGGACCTGCATCGCTGATTGCCAGCGTGCCGTCAGCGCTGGCGGGTGCTGGTAGGGAGGGCAGAGCTCCAGGCTCTCCTGCTTGCCCCGGTCCATGCTGGCTCCCCTCCTTGGTGCTACAACGTGCTTCTCAGAAAAATTACACTCCCTGCCAAAGAGGAGTTCTAATGTTCTAATTTTCTGTACACTGATCATAGAATCATAGAATGGTTTGGGTTGGAAGGGACCTCAAAGATCATCTAGTGCCAACCCCCCTGCCATGGGCAGGGACACCTTC